ATTAGTTTAATGGAATTCTTTTTGTATGACAGTCATTTCTGTTAACATGTGACAATGAAAAGAACATATGACGAAAGTAAGGATCGAAGGAAAATAAAGAACTAAAATAAGGAAGAATTATCATTTATAACATATAAAAACAAGATAAAAGAAAAGTACTTTATTATTTATTTACTTTGACAAAAATATTATGTGTATAGAAGTCACATGAATGAAGTTTGATTTTATCTATGAGGAAATTTATTGATTATTGTCCATTTCAAATATTGAAATGGTTATTTGTAGGAAGATTTTTATAATTCACTTGAGAAGAAAACTTGTTATCTTGTAGAAAAAGACTGAACATAATTAATTGAATTAGGCATTATTTGGTTACAGAAATAATATTTTAAAAAATCTGACGATCTTGTGATCGAAATATGCTTTTCAACGGTATTTACAAACAAAAAATATAAGCTGGGATTACTTATTCAGAAATGATGACAAAATCATCATGAACGAATTATGTAGTCAATTGAACATGTCCAAGTAAAATAAATAATCAGCATTCTAAAATAGGACTAAGATTTTAAATTTTTAAAAACTAAACTGGCTGAAACAATGAACATGTCTAATCATTCTGATTTAAGAGTTGTTATCCATTCGTGCAATTGGAATGGAAATCGGAAATGGATTACGTTAGATTGTATAATGTTGAGCTATTCATTTGTACGAGAGAGAACTATTTCATATTCAGGTGGATTTTATTGCTAATTCAACAGTTTGATAATTATGTTAGATATGCAAAGGCTTACAAAACACATAGGTTACTGAGTAGTAACCACTTACATTTATTCAATTTTTAACGTTAATCGGATTCTGTCAAATGAATTGCAATATCACCACTAGTTCAAGTATTTCAATACGATATTTTTACGTTAAGTAGTTAGAAGAAATAAGGCAGCAGTTGATATTTAGGCACATAACTTTGTCTTTGATTGTTATATAGGTCAATGGGGGTTTAAATGATGCGCAAAGCATACGTCCGTCTGAAACTTGAGGATAGTCATTTTGACGAGCAAAAATTAGTAATAAATCTAAGTCTAAAGTGTCTTGTAAGCCAGATGTAACCACTAAATATCAAAATCTGCTTAATCAAATCAGTGGTTTTAAATCCAGACTCTGTATTAGTTGTTTTGAGTTCACTATATCATTACGGTAACATAATCTTGTACATAATGCCAGGTGGGTTTGAGATATTGTTGGGGACGCTAAATCCACAGAACTCACTTGAAAAGTCCTAATTTTGGATTTTTTTTAATGTTTTCGCGTTAAAGATGATCATTTTGACCTTCAGTTTACATTCTCCACTCGGAAAATCCTTGACTATCAGTGGTTGATGGATTATTTTAGTACGTTATTTTTGTAGCTCTCACAAGGACCTTTCTATCATGTATAAATAAGCACGATTTGCGTGCTTGTCAACTTCGTATTTTCTGAGTGCTTGTAGAATGCACTTCTCATGCCTTATCAAGACTTCTTGATATAGTTAGCCAGGCTGGGGACAGAGGATCTGGATAGCCTATCGTGTCACTGAATCAATTATCTTTGCTCCGTTTACCGAGTTAGGTGAACTAGTAATAATTCAAGCAAATCAACTGACGGGCATATCAGACATATATCTCAAAATCCGTGTTAAAAATTATGACGTAAGAACGCAAGTAAAAGGAAATAGAGACTAACTAATAGATAACTACGTATCGTGACTATGCGATATTACACAGTCACTGAAACTGGAAAAGTAAATCAGCGATTCTGACTCCTATCCCCTGGTTTCGATTTTGGGCATTTCTAAAACGTAAGAGAAAACAGCTTATCCTTTTATTTTTAACTTTCAATGGTTCTTTACCCAATCATAATTTGTAATGAAATTTACCTCTATTACTACTTACTTACTTACTTTCGCCTGTTACCCCCAATGGAGCATAGGCCACACACTAGTTTTCTCCAACCAACTCTGTCCTAGGCTCGCCTTTCCGATTCTGTCCAAGTTTTGTTCATTCTTCTCATGTCTTCCTCTATTTCTCGGCGTAATGCGTTCCTTGGCCTTCCTCTTTTCATTTTGCCTTGAGGGTTCTATGTGGGGGCTTGTCTTGTGACGCAGTTAGGTGATTTTCGTAGTGTGTGTCCTATCCACTTCCACCGCTTCCTCCTGATTTCATCCTTTTTGGTATTATATGTGAGGCATCCTGCTTGCCAGTCTAACACCAATTAGTTTTCCTTCCAAATCTTGCCGGGAGAGAGAGTTGGACGTCTTTGCAGTCACTGTGATGTCTGCTTTCAGTGACTCAGCTGGGATTTTGTCTGGTCCTGTAGCTTTACCACTCTGGTGGAAACTACGTCGCTTTGTGTAGGGGGTCGAGTGAGATTATAGTGCCGTCTATGACAGGTTTGTTGAAAATACATAGGTTTGCGAATCTCTCACTGTTTTCGTTCGTTTTTCGTAGTCCATGTCGGCTAACAATGTTTTAGTGGCCTATGATTTGACTCCGGTTGGGATGATTGAGCGCATATACGATGAAATAAATTCTCCTTTCCATATCCGTATATCATACTCAGACAAATCCCGTATGTGCGACAGTGGTAATAAGAAGCCAAATACGGTTTTGTGGATGAATTTACTTCATGCATTCATATAGGTAGACACAAGAAAATGGAAAGCTCACAAGCAAAGCGAAGCAAAGTGGAGAAGGCGAATGAGCCAACTCTCATACGTTGAAGCATGACTAAGTTTCATGGGCAATAACAGGCTAGACATGTAATGAGATAGTAAGCATGCAGACACATACTCAAATTCATAATAGTCGATAGTGTTATCGAGTTGTAACAAATGTAAAAATGGTCGATAAATTATCGAATTATTTAAACGACTAATCAACAAAGCTAGTAAGAATGAATGAATAGGGGAGTGCTTTAATATCTTCATAACCGATGTCGTTCATTCGAATTAGACGTTTAGGTCTACCATCGGAATGGTCTATTCTTTTACTAATCGTTCCGCGACGACTGATTGCAGCCTCTCATAAAATTGATTTCTAACGTCTTTATTGTCATCTTTAGTGAGCGCAAAGCACTAAATGACGTTCATCGTAATCCCACCTTTCTTTGTCTTGAAGGAGGCTTTGATGATCCAGAATCCATGAGTTCTCATTCTATCAATGAGTTTTGTGCTTCTCTAGAGGGCATCAGTGCAACTCCTTGTGTGTGTGAGGTAGTTTCTTCTTCATGCCCAGAAAAGATCAGCATCTCCCCTGAAGCTAATCTTTTTTGTTTCACCCGCGCCGAACGAGTCTCACTGATTCCATGTACCACCAAGTTGTATCTTTTCTTTTCTGCAGGAAATTGAATGACTCTCTCAGCCCCCACAGTGTGTGGATATTCCATGGTTTTTAGAAAGGGCAACAGTCTTGTGACTTCTGAAGGTATCATTAGACGTCATAAAGTTGTTTAAATTTTTAAAAAGTTCAAAACATACTGGGAAAAATACATTAGAATTATGGAAGAATGATGTTGCATGTATTTCCTTATCACACATGGTTCAGGTTCGAATTGGTGAGTTGTCAACACCTCAGCAACGTATCAGTTTCTCATACAACCTGCTTATTACCTCATTTCTTCATTCTTGTCTAACCTCTCGAAGATTTGTCAATTATATTTGATACTGGAAATTTCAGAGCGTTTTGTGATGCAGTCGCTTCCCATTTCCCTATAGACTTATATATTTATCAAGCAGCTATTCATACGAATGTACAACTTACGTAAATGATTTCGTCAAAAACAAAATTCTCTCTATTTTTAATAAATACTTACACTGGAGTTATTTGAAGAGAATATTTAACAATAAGTTAAAACTAGAATTGTAGTGAGTAAAGCAATGATTGATGATCACTTTAGTAAAAATAATTGGTTCCCACCTGTTCTATTTTATCTAAGTTTAACACTTTATATTAATGTAACTATTATAGTGGTCACTAACTAATTTACCACCGACTCTCATCGTAGAGGCGATAAAATATTTTTTCAAAAAACACAACTTCAAACAGAACAAATCGTCTATACTACTTATTTCACTTGTAATAAATAACATAAATTGACCGAAGGACAGTCCATTATAAATGTTGAAAAAAATCCCAACACATTTGTCTTTTTCACTATCCATAAATTATGATGGATAAAGATTAGTTGGACTAATATAAAATTTTTTTGTCTAGATTGGAAAATTTATACGACTAAGCGTTTTCCTTATAAAATGAAGCATTATCAGAGACAGATTAGATCACTTGGTTTTCAAACGAGAGGTATTCATAACAAACAAAGTACAATGGCTTATTTTTATATCAAACCATAATACTCTTAGTGTCTGTTTTACCTGTCATGCAATTCTGTGGGCATACCAGCATGCATTCAGTTTGTTCCGTTCTTCTAATTTGCTTTCTAACAATTACATAATAATAATCATAACGCACACCGTACAGTTAGTAGGGAGTGTGGTGAATCTTTTGAGGTTATTATGAGTAGGATTGTGGATAGATATTTAAAATCTTCAGAACGCCTGGCAAGTGTCATGTTAACCGTCTACTCTATACACATATTCCTCCTTGTATATCCTCTGGTTGAACAAGACGCCGATACATTAGAATCCATACATACATACAAAGGTATAAAAGCTCTTCAATACATTATCTAGCAAATGTACTATGCAATGAAAAGGTCTTAATAGCTGACCTAGTCAAAAACTTGTACTTTTAAACAGGTTGTAAATGAACAATATCGATTTCTTCGTTATTAAGAACACTTCATTAAATTTGAGATTGTTTAGTTATTTATTTCATATGGATATGCATGAAGTTATAGAATTTTTTGGATTTTATGGAAGGAACTTATTGAAATATTTTGTGCTCATATGTTCTATATTGTACAGAACATATAGGATAAAGCCACTAATAATAATAATAATAATAATAATAATAATAATAATAATAATCTAACTGGATAAAATTGTTAAATTAAATTTTGTTTTTCTTTCATTTTTCATAGAAATTACGAAATAAGGCGAATTCCGTCTTCTCAAAAAAAGACAATAAATCAATAATGCAGATATTTCACAGGAAGGTAGAACAGAACTTTTAAATAATATAGAAAAATAAAGAATGCAGTTAATGCTAGTTCTTCTGCTATATGTGTTGTTACTTTAAAAGTACAACTGATATAATCAATCAAGCTGATTTTTATAGCTATACACAAGTCGGTTAACAAGTAACATCATATTTTTCAATTAGAAAAATACAGCGACCAAATTATGACAAGTTATGAAAGACAAAGAAGTGAAGAGAACAAAAATCAAGGCGTGACAAATAACATCTTCATCGACAAGCATACAGAGTAAGTACCATAATATGTGCTAGCGACGATAACGATATAATCAGTTTTAACAGTCAAAAAACTAGCTGTCAAATGTTAGGAAAAAATTTACATTGATTTTTATTCGAATTTGCAAATGTAAGTGAAGTGTAGGATAAAATAATGGATGATAATGATACGGTGATGTATATAACAGAGAACAAGGTAAGTTAATTGGTAAAATAGAAAATACATATTACAGTTTGGTAACCACGTCAATAATATTATCACATGTTATGGTGTTTTTATAGTTTCTAAAAAGAATTATGATTCTAATTTGGTCAAAGAGATTTCGCCGATAATCAACCTCAACAGCTCAAGAATTATTCCAATATACTACTTATATTCTGTCAAAGTATAAATCATGGAGAGTTTAATTAGAGTTACATTCCTGTGATTTGGATATAGATTCGCTAAATAAGGATTGATTATCTAAACTGGCAGCCAAATCATGACCAACGGTGATGGTGTTTGAATCAGCATAACCGAACAATTTGCTAAACCTATTTATAACACAGAGAAACAGAGAACAAATACAAAAAGCAAATAAATACATGAAAACATAGTGTATTATGTGGTGTCAGTTTGTAGTACTGTTAATAATATGTAAGTTTTTCAGAAAAACGAAATTTCGATTGTGGTACACTACCAAAAATAAAATGACTATATATATATAATTTACAGTAAATATGAGTTTCATTAAATGCACAAACTTATTCATTATTGGCAAATTTAAAACACTACATGTCTTTGAATAAACATATTACACTATACTCTGCGCTTACATTTATTGGCATAACGAAAGACTACGATAATTATGTCAATATTTAAGTAAGTTATGAGCATAGTGAACTTTCACGATTCTTTTTTCGTCACATTCAACGTATACTATCAACATTATATTCAAAATAATACCAAAGACCTGACAGCCATGGGTAGTATCATGTGATCTTATATTAGACAATTCAAAGCAGAAAATGGATGTTCATTTGTCTTCTTATATATTTTCAAGATCAAATGGAACTTATGATCATCATAAAATCTGAACTGCAGATTAATCCTGAGTTGTATGTGGATAAAAACTTTTTCCATTGAATAAATCGATCGATTCACACAAGGGGTTCGTTCACTCTTGATGGCTATGAGATTCTCAATCTGTGGGTAATATTTTAGAACTTAGACACATAAAAAAAAACTATTCCATAACAAGATGGTATTCATTTAGAAATATCCTACTCATTCAAATATTTTTACTTATAATAGCAAAATAAAGATTGACATGTCAATTGAGCATTGAAATAGTAAAGATGTAGTTATTGTTCTAGAATATGAACAAGAAAATCTACACGTTGAGAAAATCCATTACATAATTCCGATTATATCAAGTGAATAAGTAGTAAATAATCAAACAACAATAGGATGATCATATGAACACATATGAATATTCATGTGATATAATTTTGATAATCAATGAATAAATGAAGTAAAAAATCTAGGCTAATAATAACAATAATAATAGCAGTAGTTAAGCGCCAGTATTTTAAACTAATATGCAAAATGCATGTTTTCGAAGCGAATTTTAACTTTATAATCTAATCAACGTACAGCATTGATAATAAATACAATGACTAAAAAATACATGACTAGTAAGTGACTAGTGAATGAAAATGTCTCTGTCATTCAATACATTATCTTCGAGGTCTTGAAAGTTGCATTAAATTGATAGGTGATGTAATCTTGATGGTAGACGTCAAAAGGTCGCCAGGATTTTTAGTATACGTAACAAGCAGTTTATTTCATGTTGATCTATGTCAAATATAACCTACGAAGGTGGGAGACATTCGGAGAGTCACCAGTATTTTGATGACATAACCTTTTACAGCACTGCTTACGTTTATTGTAGCCAGTGAGCAAGGAATTCGGAGGTTTAGCACATGGTAAACCAGTCGATGGGACAGCTGGTCTCCATTAAAAGACTGTTGAGACATAAGCAGTATATTCCCAATCAACATTTACACAAACCCGGACCTCATGAGGATAATCAGTCTCTTTAAGATCGCAAATACACTTTGATTAGTACTAACCAGTACGAAACCGAGATCAACAGTTTCCTGATGATTGCCCATCATCACTTAACATCAAAAATATAGTGCATGGAATCTTAACGGACTGTGGTCACGTAACTTGATCGATAAAATCTGATGAGCGCTCACAACAGGATATTCGTCATTGTTTAGTGATCAATTAATGTTTTATAGATTCCCCATGAGGATCTTGTCATGGCGTTTAACTGCTAACTGGTTTTTCACATAAACGAAGCTGAAGAGGCCGTCTATTTTGTCCTGTGTAGTGTTTTTCACAGTTTGAGCAATTTATTTTGTGGATGATATTTGATTTTTCTTCATTTGTCATTTTGTCCTTTGGTCTACATAGGATTGATTAAAGTGATTCTGTTGGTTTGTGTGCCACACCTATTCCAAATGGTTTCAGTAGTCGTGCTGTATGCTCCGATATGTCAGAACATATCAGTAGCAGAACAAGCTACAGGTCAAACGTGGAGAAACTCGAATGCTTCTCTTCTATCTGAAGTTTGTGCTGATGATGTTGTTCAGAAGAACAATGAAAGCTCCACAACCAAAACATCCAGCTCAGAGAACCAAACACCACCACAATAATAAGGGGTTTTTGTAACAAGTAATATGAGTGACTCCTAACTAACCAGTTTCATGGAATTCACTACAAATGATATAGCGTTGAAATATTTATCGATTAATCGATCAGCTAACAGGATATAAAATCACCAAAATTATTTACATACATAACACAGATCTTTAATAATCTCTGGTTGATATTTATTACTGACAAACATAGAAGGAATATACTAATAAATAACAAGTCCTTCGTTGTGTTTCAGATAGGAAATTATAAGTTTGGTTTCCAAATGCAGGAAAATGGTCATGAACAAATTGAATATAAATAAAAGTAATATTTATAAACAAATTTAGCCTTTGTTCCAATGTTCATGAATAAATTATTCAATCACTTGTCGAAGGTTAACCATACTAAACAATAAAAATTAATCGTGCGAAGAAGACAGTAGGAGTTGAATGATTAATTCTGATATTTTAGGAAGAGTGATAACACCAGTAAATCAAAGTGTATTTTTAAACTAATAACGTCATCAATAATATTACCTACCAGAAGTTTGTTCAGTTCAATTGATTAAATCTAACTGTTTACACGCCTAATAAACTAATGCTCGTGTTCGTCTAAAACTAAATAAGTGTAGATGATTTGGAAACTCATTTATAATTAAAGTTTCTAGAGACAACAATAAATGAAAGCCATTACTGATCTCAAGCCTGTACAACAAATCATTTTAATATCTAGTTAAGATATTAATTTTTCAGCACAAAATCTTAATAGTAACCTACATGCTTCTCAATCCAGTAGATTTCCTTCGTCTATCACATGAAGAATGGATAAATTCAGTTGATAAATTGTGAGAACCTTGTGACCGGGAGTAGCTAGAATCATTCAATTGGTATGGACCAAGACATTGAGCTTCTGACGGTAAAGCAGAGGCTAAAGGAATAACCTGATCAAAATTTGAGAATAATCCTGTTAAACCAGATTGGACAGTTGAAAATAATGATCTTGGTACCCAACGTTCAAAACTGGCACCTGTCGGAACTTGTAAATGAGAATTATGATCAGCACGCAATCTCTCCATTAAACGCAGTGCATCTTGTAGTTCCAAGAATTTCTCTTTATAAGTATTACGTTCTGCAATCACACGAGCCATTTCTCGTTTAGTAAAACAAGCTTCACCGAGCTTCGGTACCTGACTCTTTGTCTATGAACAAGTATCAAAAGTATACAAAAACAGGGATGAAAACTGTTTCGAATGAATTTTGAGAAATATTAACTGTAACAAGTAATTTTTCGATTAAAACGAAAATCTAAAGCTCGATAAAACTGAGATATAAATTACTTAGGTGTTTTTGAATAATGAAGTTGTGAATAACGATAATTACAAATGCTAAGAAGCTAAAAATGCAAATGTTTAGCGATAAAAGACAAAAGCACTCAGTGACATAATATTCTAACGCTGGGCAGTTTATATTAATTTATCAACAAATATTGATATTTACTTGATATTCATTTTTCAGCTCTTAAAAGCGTGCAGTAATATATTGACAAGATTATGTATAGTAAGGTATATATATGAAAAAGTTACCAGGAAAAAACTTTGACATTCAAGTGAATATTCATAATAAACCACATTAGAATGATGAAGTTTCATAGTCATTTACGTAAAAAATCAAATAAATATGATTTTCGGATGATAAGCAATCTTCTTTTAATAAGAACATACTTTCTTATGGGTAGCGTGTAAATCGTTTTCATCTTCAATTTTAGTTATATCACCCAATGGTAAAACACTATTCAAATCATCTACAGATTTATTACGCAGTTTCGATGATGTATAACCTGTATCATTTGTATTTAATGTCCAACAGGATTTCGACTGATTTATTGATAATCGAGATGAACGGTGATCAGTTTCATTGACATCTTCATAAATTTTAAGACGTGCAGTTAAACTGGATATTTGATCACGACATTCGTAAACTAGACGTGATAAACGACTGGCTTCAGATTTAATTTCATCTCTATTAGTACGTATAGCGTGTATTTCTTGAATTAACATAGATTTCTCACTAATTTTCACAAACAAACAAAAAAAGAGATACATTATTATCGTTCACGATATCAGTAATAAATACTATACAAAAGTTTGTAAACATGAATATCCCCTTAGACATAATACTTCAGGTCACTTTTATTACTGTTAACTATTAGAAACAATGATGAAACAATCAAACTGAAAGTTCAGATGTTAGCGAAGGCAACTTACATGTATTTTTCTAACCCCTATTTTTTTAAACTTTACGAGGTAATGCTTACTCTCTTTAAGATAACAAAGAGGACTACATGTATGAGACTTGAATGTACACTCAAAAACGTCTACCCCATAATGGGAGGAGAAACGGCGACAGCGGTAAGCGATAATAGATAACTTTTCCGACTTATCAAAGAAATACATATTGAGATATCAGGTTTTTGGAAGACAATATATGAGAAAGATTAGATTAAGAGCCACTTTCAGCCCAGATGGCTGAAAAAATGTGTAAAACACTTTGAAGAACAATTTTACTGGCCCTCAGTTACTTACCAGTTGCCTGATGTCACTAAACAACATGAATGGGATACAATCACAAGTATGTTGTATCTCAGTGAAGCTGAAAAAGATACAGCTAATCTAAAGCGGAGGGGGACAGTAGTAAAGCTATATTAATTGAGCAAATAAATTATTAAGGATTGTGGTCCAGTTTAATACTGGTTGAGATATTAGATACAGTCCGCGAACTGGATGTCACCCCATTAGTTTATCGAAGAAGTAAAATATTTTAGTAGCAACAGCACAGAAATTAGCTTCAATAAACTCTTAACGGACAATCAGGCTAGTTTTAGACCTGAACCTGGACGTACTTACACCTGTTACTTGGAAAGTTCATCAACTCATGTGGGTTGGTATTTGACGAAATCTTTGCACGGATTCAGAAGTCTTACCTAAATTTTGTTAATTTGTGTTACCTAAAGAGTAGGACTTCCGTCTGCCCACCAAATAACGAGTATTCCGCACTGCGATTCACTGTTTTCCTTTAAAGCTGTGAAACATGACATTTGAAATCAAATTAGAATTTGATCATAGATATCTTTGGGACATTGCTAGGATATGTTGGTACCATCGAGTGAGCAATGTTAAGATAAGATACGCAGTACTACGAAGAGATGGTTGATCAGTTGGTAGTCTTGCGGATATTCAATCACCAAGGTGGTCAGGACATCTATTAAGTATGTCAGCCAATGCCTACATGGAGGCGTGATAATGACTAGTAGGTTGGAAGAAAGCCGAACGAAAGAACATTAGTCCATGAGGCCATTTACTGTCGAATTGATCCGTGCTGGTAGATGCAAACCACTTGTTTGATGTATAAGCGATTACTATAAAGTGCGATTAGGGGATATTGTAAGGCATGGCTGAGAATCCGTTGCAATGGCGTAAGTGTATTCACTTTGTTTTTACTTACATGAACAGTTTCAAAATAATCTCGTTTTCTGTCACATAAATTCATTCTTTATTCCAAATTATATTGTCTAAAGTTAGCTTTCTTGCTACTACTTGTCTTGATAATTTCAACTTACTACGCTAACGTGCTGTGACAACTTGGACTGTTGCCCACAAGCACCAGGTGTTATATTGTTTATGACTGGCTAACCGGCTGAGATACTTAGTTTGATAAATTAACTTTCAAAACATTCACAAGTGTTTACAGCTTGTCACTTGGTAATATTCTGTAGATAATCTCGCATAAATCATACACCCTTTGATTATTGTAAACAGAAAAAATGCGAAAGAAATAAATGCTGAGCAACGAACGTATTAAAAAGTGGAGTTTATAAGGAGGAAAAAAGTCAATAACTTTCGTTCTAAGTGGAGCCATAAATGGTTGGCTCATTTCTCTATAATACAACAACAACAACTACTACTACTACTACATAAAATTCATAGAAAACATAATTTATACAACATCCCTTTACTTACCCAGTTACTTCATCTAGTTTTTTAATTAAATCATCTTTTAAAATATTTAAAGCATTCCTAAAATAAAAAGAAATATCACTATATTAAAAATGAAAAGAAGATACATAAGTAAATAAATAATTAATTATATGGTAGAAATAAGTCAAAGAATATAATTTTTCTTCTTGATTAGAGAACAGAAATAAACTAACTTGATGCAGTTAGCATAAGTTAGAAAGCAGCTAGATTGTTCAGAAGAATGAATGTTACATAAACTGACAGTTGTAGAGATCACTAAGAAAAGAACGACAACTATCACGACTTCTTACAAAGCATCAGAAACTCATTTTCCTATGTACTGAGACGGCTTAAACATTTTCTATTGTTTCTTTTTTCAAGAGTAAACTACTACTTAAGCCAGTTACCTCTAACGGAGCATAGACCGCCAACCAAAACTACTACTATCTAATGCCCACTGTATTTATCGAGCTACAATTTCATATTGAAAAAACGAACGTGTTCATTTTATATCGGCTCATCGGTTACTGAATAACACGGTAAATAGGAGTTGGTTGCTTCAGAAGATACGATACCACTGATCAACATACCTTATTACATATGAGATCATAACATCATATGAAAAACAATAAACAAATTCAAAAACAACTAACTTACTTTGTTTCATATAGATCAGTGTTTTCTTTGATTAATTTTTCAACTTCTTTTATCATACCTTAATATTGTTTGAAAGAAAGTAAACAAACTAAATGAGGACGAAGAAGGAGAAAATGCGAAACTCAAAAACCTGAATTTTCGAAACTAACAAAGTGAAAAACTTTGATCACCAAGTAAATAAGAAAATCAAGTAAAGAACACAATTCCCAAAGGGGTTTTTCCATATTGTAAGCAAACTAAAATAATTTAGTAGAGAAATAAGTTGACATTTTGAGTATTTACACCAATAAAATGCACAGACTAGCGCGTAAACAAAGGTAATATATATATACTTATTTATATTTTTATTCAATATGACCAGAAAATATAGAAACGAAGGATTAACATGACTCAAAATACATCTGAATGTTTCTTCATGTTTAAATGTTAGATGGGTTTATGAACAAAATATTGATAAACACTAATTTAATTTGGTGGTCGAAAGGTAGTCAGACTAGATACGTAAAGGTTTTCACATCATCCAAACTTCTCCGTCAAATGTGATTTGGTTAGTGCATGTTGTGTTTTATTGGAGAATCTCACTTTTATCTCTGTGTATGTTGATACCTACTGCTGTTGAGGTTGCTGCTACACTGGTCGTCTTCTCTCGCATTTGTTATTGCGTGTGCGACAGAAGAGCCAGATCATCTGCAAAGTTCAGGTCGTCCAGATGGATCCTCGGTGTCCACTGTACACCGTGCTTCCCTTCAAATGTTGACGTCTTCATAATCCATTCGATCACCAGGAGAAAGTGAAAGGGTGAGAGTAAGCAACTTGCCTAACACCGGTCTTCAGCTCGAACGAATCTGTCAGCTGTTCTCCATGCACGATTTTGCAGTTTCATTCATCATTTGAATTCCGTATGATGTTGATTATCTTTTCAGGCACGCCATAGTGTTGTCCTGTTTACGCTATCGAATGCTTTCTCGTAGTCAATGAATTTGATGTAGAGTGGTGAATTCCATTCAATTGATTGTTCAACAATGATCCGTAATGTTGCAATCTGGTGGGTACACGATCGATCTTTACAGAATCTAGCCCGCTGGTTTCGAAGTTGGGTGTCTACTGAACTTTTCCATTCGGTTTAACAACACTATTGAAGACTTTCCAACATTACTTAGATATATTATACTCAGTTCATTTTGACTGAAGAATTATTGCCATGAGTAAATTATTAGCCCAACATTAACAACAATTATAGTACCTGTACTAGTAAATCAAGTCATCATGATGAATACATATCCACATGATGACAGCACAAGACAAATTGTTCTTATTCATTAGAGAGGAAGATAGCGAGTAACTTATTGAAATGATTCTCTCAAATCATATTTTTGAGTTTAAAATAATCATACAGCTTACTAAAAAAAAATGGAAGCTCAAACAGTACAATAACACCGAACTTCAGGCCAGGAATAACGTTTCGGGAACTCAAATCGTTTGCATCAGCAGTGCGTGGTGGTAAAGGAATGTGAGAAGGGTTATTCGTGGAGATAAGGGGGTGTATGAAGGATTTGAGTGGGACCAATTAGGTCTCGTAAGCTGCTATGGGTATGAGGGCGAATGTCATTTCCCAGCTGCCCACACCGTGGAAGAGTATTTCGTGAGGAACCTGTAAAGGAAAATAGATTAGTGTTGGTCTTAACGACCTGTGAGCAAGACTGCGGATCCCAAGGGACAACGGCTTGTGCCCGCTCACGCATGGCCTTTTTATGAGTTTTTATGTTTAAAAGCCCTTACCGCCGCAGACGGGAATCCATGAGGTAGGGTGAGGTGTGACATTTTTAGGGTCGACCTTTCCAACCTTTTCTTCCTTGTGAAAAGGCAGCATCGCTGCAGATGCTGGTTGTCCGAGGGAAACACCTTACTGCTGTCACAACCCTCTGGAGTCAGCAGTACGACTTCGCCCTCAGAACTTGAGTAGCTGCTTTTAGTCTGGCATGGTAGAACCTAAAGAAACATATACTCCAGCCAATATAGCTAGGTTGGGTCGTCATGATAGGCAAGCCCGACCGCCAACATCAAGGTAGCAGCACAGCTATCAGGAGAGACGACCAATATTCGATTCGCAAAACTGATATTCCACAGCAGCATATTTCCATAATTGTCTTATGCTATGATAAGCAATTTTTTATGTTTGATCTTATAGTTAAACTCGTTAACTTTAGTACAAGGTTTACCTAGTACACCACAACTATATTCTAGTTTGGGAGTGCATCATCTGTTCTACGATTTAATCGTACAGTAACATATCAATGTGAATAAAAGTTAATCAAACAATTCAAAAAAAATTTCGTATGTTTTATAACATGAAAATGGTGAATCTTAACTGCTAGAGTTCTAGGTATATTTTGGCTGTTCTAGTAGGACAACTTATTGAAATGTTTTTCTTTTTTTCACAGATAGAAACTGGAATTTCACTTCGTATATTGCCTAGAACAATGCCTTTTTGACATAAAAAACTTGAAAATTCTACTACTGATTTTCTACAAGAGATTATATTTCGGAAAAAAATTGGATTACAGAATGAGAAATCTTTTTGAATCACGGGAAATTTTGAAAATAAAGGGCTACTGAATGTGACCAGACTCAGAAAAAATATAAGCGAAATTTGGATCATAATATGAAGATACAACAGAGAACTGAACCCTTCTCCAAATCGCTAAGTTTTTACAATATATTGTAAGCATATCTAAACACCCACAATTTCAGTTGGCCTACAACACGTATACCGATAACTTACAACTGAATGTACCATGGAATAGTGTCTTAGTGACTAAACCACTCAGCTTTCAAACAATAAATTGAAATAACGAGTTGTATTACACCTACTTATCTTTCGGAATTAAAGTAATAGGATTAGAGTATGAGAAACCCGTACTGATTAAGTAAATAAAAAATATTTTTTAAAGATATATCTAGGAAAGTAAATTCGGAAATAGAACACAAACTAAGTACACAATAATCATACTGAAAATTTTCTACTTTACATCTACAGCGTATTTCGAAAATAAATAAATTCATGTTTGCATGGATTGATGTTTGACAAGTTCTTTGTCATTTATATTCCCGAATGTTTTGACTTCTAAATACATATTTTCTCGCCTTCACTACTAACCAACGGTCGAATTATGCATTGAGTGGTTACATATTGACTAAGACTTGTGGCCTCCAAGTCCGAACCTAACTTTAATTACTTTGATTCGAGCTCCTAGCTATTTTTGGTAACTATCAGATCTAGCGCATCTCCTAAAGATTAGTATCTAACTCGAAAATTAACCAAAATAATCGGTTAATTCTGTTCTAAAGAATTTCATTTACAAATTAAATATTTAACTTACACCATAAATATTGTGAACTTAATAATCATATAAATTTACTGTTACAAATACTATTGATTAGTAAACATCTAGCTTTAGAGTTTTTGAAGAATTGCAACTGATAACTAAAGACAACGCGTAAATTGTAGTGATAATTATTCACTTTATATGTTAATTGTACCACGATTCTTAACTAGGGGAATTAAATTCGCAGTAAGGATCACATCACCAATACATCGGATATAATCCCGACCGTACCAAGTTCTACGTTGTAACTAACTGAATGATGTATTTAATGACCAAACTACTCATGATCTACTACATGTTGTCGTGTAAGAGTATGCTAAAATGGTGAACTGAACAAAGAAAGATTACAAAAATGTATGAATTAGTAGTTTCTTTTTGCAACGAAAACATCAAGAAAAGTTGCACCTATTTCAGAAACACAATTTAATCGATAAAAAATAACATTTCAAACTAAACAAACGGAGAAAATTGTGAGCAAACTAAGCAAGACAGAAAATCCACTGAATGATGTGTGATCGAGTAAATCACAACACAATATTTTAAGTGGTAAATAATAACTGGATTCATTAGAATATAATGTATACACTAGATCTAAATTATAAATGAATCGATAATATTGGTGATTAACACAAACAGGTGCACCATAATAAATATCGTCAATATTTACCCACCTACAGAAGGTTCATTAACATCAAGAGATTCTGAAACCGGAGGAAATCAACATACAATACAGATGTCTTTATTGATTAAAAATATTTATCTCATAAAGAACTATTTACATATGATAAATATTTTTTAAATAACACTAGGTAGATTAATATACAAGCTTGTACACTCGGCTTTTAGTGGTCTCTGCTTGTCTTTAAAGATTAGTTTTGAATAATAAGTACGTTGGAAGATATACACATGCATGAATCCATATTATTTGGAAGTTTCGGTTCTGATCTCGACATTCTTTAAAATCTACATTATCACTGAAAAGGGAAATCAGTTTCATTGGCTACAATTTCGATGCTCGCAACTAGACTGTAAACTACTACTATAATTAAACATCATTTTTTGTTGCATATCATTGAATCTATTGTTTTATTCAGATAATAAATCTTTAAACTAAGTACAATCACTTTCACTCAGGAAGTACTTGAACATTCGCTTGTGTTAAGTGAATAATATTCTCATTTCTGAGCATTACAATATGTCATTGTTATTAATTAGTGTATTGTAAGTTTTCAATATGGTTTAGGCGTTCACGCGTAAGACCGAAGGTCCTCGGTTTGAATGCTGCGAGTAGCAGGAGTCGTGGATGCGCACTGCTGATGAGTCCCATGGCAGGAAGAAGCGGCCGTCTAGTGCTTCCGAGGTTTCGAATGGTAGTAAAACAATGACTGATTGATGATTTCAATATGCTTAATAAAGTAGTTAGACGCTAAGATAATGCATAAATGAGACAAGGAGTAGACGTTTCGTCCAAACATTTTAACCTTTTTCCCAAAAGTAATAACAGTAACGAAAGAAACATACTTCTCGAAATCTAATCACCTGTAACTCAAACTTGTGATTAAGCCAGAAATGAATATATCAGAATAATCCAAAGAAGATAGCTTTTACACATCGACTACAAAGTTCGACAATTAACTAAGTAAATAGATAGTATTGAGTAAACCTACTGAAATATAAAAAACACTAAATAAATATCTGTTAATAATCACAGACACACACCATTTTCTTCAACATCTTCAGTCCCCGTGGCAGGAGTTGATTCCAAAGCTGTTTCATAATCTACACTATAACAGTAAAAAAAGTACGTTCAACTAATGTCAACGACCATAATTAAATATATTTTTAAGGGGAAATATTTGTTTGAGTTAGGACAGTTTTGTGCTGATAGAAGCGATTTCAATTTCTTGTGAAAACAATTTCAACTATAATGGCTTAACACGGATTTAGAGAATTTAATGACATCAAACAACAGAAACATTTCATCTGGTGAAACTCTGGTAAGACTTAAAAATACGTTTAACAATAAACATGTGCGGTTTCAGTGGAATCGACAATTACTGGGAAGGCCTTGAAACCTTCCATTTTCTTATTGTACAGCTTGAACTGTTGCGTCTGCGCACCAGAAGTTCGTGATAATCAAAAAATTCACATTATTTTAAATAACATCTATCTACTAAAAACAAAATATATAAAAATATGAAGTATGAAAAGTCCTCGGAGCCTTTTCAATGCTTGAGTGCATTATTCTTTTTTGAAGTAATCAACCAGAAACCTTCTAAAGCCAGGTTAGAAATATGTGTATGGTCACCGGTAGCATAAATGTACAGTCTGACAAAGACTCGTGTTCGCAAGACAACTAGAATTTCAGCCACAAGAGCAGTTAGAAAGATAGCGACCAATATCATACTTTGGAAAAGCGTTCAACTAGTTGCTCGTAATCCCGATCGTAGCTGCCACCTTGACATGGTGGACGGGCTCGCCTATCATGATGAACCAACCGAGCTATATTGGCTGAAATATATGTTTCTTTAGGTTCTACCATGCCAGGCAGGTCGATTGGAGAACGATCAGACTAGAAGCAGCTACTCAAGTTCTGAGGGCGAAGTCGTACTGCTGACTCCAGAGGGTTGTGACGGCAGTAAGGTGTTTCCCTCGGACAACCAGCATCTGCAGCGATGCTGCTTTCTCACGACGGTAGGCAGGGGTTAGAAAAGGTCGACCTAAAAATGTCACACCTCACCTTACCCCGCGGATTTCCGGTGGCAGGGTTATCTAAAGAGCGGGGCTAACACGTTAACTCATAAAAAGGTAGTGCATGACCGACCTCAAGCACTTGTTCCTGGGGATTTCTCTACCACACACTCAACACTAATCCAATTTCCTTTTCAGGTTCCTTAGGAAACACCCAACCATGCTGTGGGCGGCCGGGAAGTGAAGACAGCTATCATACTCGTCACAGCACACGAGACCCAATCGGTCACAACCAGATCTTTACGATACCTATTATTAAATTCTCTTGCCTCCATGACCAAACCTCAACACATCACACCACCACTTCTTTAAGAGCGATTTTAGTGAACATGACGTTATTCCTGGTCTCCTAAAATCACGCTCTAAAGTAAATGTTAGAGCTTTCAGTGCTCCACACTTGTGCCAAATAGGACAACAGGCTTCCCTAGCAAGGACCTTAGAATCTCGCGCCATCGATGTATGCTGCGTCTCGGAAACGCGCATACAGGATCCGAATAGTGTAATTCGTCTGACCTCACCATGTAAAAATAAAGAGGCTACTCGATTTACCCTTCGCGTATCTGGAAACCCTGATGCTGCTTCGCGGGGTCTCGCTGGTGTAGATATAGCATTGAGTCCTAGGGCAGAACTAGCTCTCCTAGACTGGATCCCAGTAGATAGTCGCTCGTGCGCTTTCCGACTGAACGGGACAGTAAGGACTCGGAAAGATGGGGTCACTCGCCGTTGCCTCTTCGTTGTATCTGCCTACGCCCCCACTGACTGCAGCTCAGACGATGTGAAAGATGAGTTCTACAAAAAGCTATCGGGCCTAATCCAAAACGTTAGGCACTCTGATATAGTAATAATGGCTGGTGACTTTAATGCTCAATTAGGGTGACTAAGTGAAAAAAATACATCTGGGTGGATCTTGTGGTGTCTCGAAGCAAAGAACAGCTAATGGAGACAGTCTGCTGCAGCAAACACTAACTTTAAGCTAAAATTTAAATTTATCTTGACCCGGCGACCCCCAAAGTCGTCCCAATAGTAGATCACATTGCAATCAGCAACCGATAAGGGGGTTCATTACAGGACTGCCGCTCGTTTTAGGGCACCGGTTTAGATTAAGGTAATGCTCTAGTGCAAGCGCGTATTTCTTTGAGACTTACTTGATGTAGGAAAGACCTCTTACGGTTGTACTAAATGATAACAACTAGGAAAACAGTTAGGCCATGTAAGTGATACCCATCCGGTGGCAGCTTGGAACGATATCCAAGACGCCGTCGAAAAATGCAGTGATATCTGCTAGCAAGGTAAACTATAATGCTATGAAGAAGCCGTGGATCAAGGTTGTAATAACTACTGGAAATCTGAAGCGTGGGAGAGCAGCAGGGCCTGCTAGGCTTACCCCTGAGATTTCTCGATCTTCAAGCGGCATTCAACTCCATCGATCGCGAAGTTCTGTGGTAGTGTCTGTCAACAATAGGAGTACCAAACAAGTACATTAAGCTTCTACAGGCTCTCTACTCCAACACTAACGATCGGGTGAGGGCTTATGGCGATCTGTTATCGGAATTAGTTACTTCAAGTGGTGTTTCGTCAGGGTTGTCCACTCTCTCCATTCTTGTTTAACTTTGTTGTAGATATGCTTTCAGAGTTAACATTATCTTCGTCTGACTTTTCAGGAGTGGACCTTATATCAGGAGACACGCTTGTTGACTTAGAGTATGCTGATGACATAGTTCTATTAGGTGAAAACGCTGACAAAATGCAGAGTCCTATGACCACCTTAAGCAACAATGCAAGCATGTTCAGGATGCAGTTCTCCCCCTCGAAATGCAAAATTTAGCGTCAAGATCGGCTTGCGTCGGCACCTGAACTAGTGATAATGAGCAAAGTAGTTGAGCTTATTGACTGCTTCACCTATCTCGGTAGTCTCATCATTTCTGATGGCCTGGTAACTGACGAAATCTCAGCACACATACAGAAGGCTCGATTGGCTTTTGCAAACTTGCGTCATTTATGGCGTAGGCGAGATCTCCGTCTGCTAATCGAAGGACGAGTGTACTGCGCAGTAGTTCGCTCCGTTCTTCTATATAGATGCGAAACATAACCAGTAAGAGTGGAGAACATTCATAGGTTACTAGTATTCGATCATAGGTTCCTTCGGAGCACTGCTCGTATATCCTAGAACCACCGAGTAAGTAATGCTGGTGTTAGGAAACACGTACTAGGTAAGGATGACAAACCAATCGAAGTATTGAAACTCCATCAGCTGAGGTGTTTGGGACATGTATCACGAATGCTCAACCACTGACTGCCGCAACGAGCTATGTTTTGTAGTGTAGGAGTGGTTTTGAAGAAAGGTAGGGGCAGCCAAACCAAAACATGGCAGGAATCCATGAAGTCACTGACAAGTGGACTGAGTCATATTGGTAGATGTAGGCTACCTGGTTGGAGTCTGCGAGATTAAAGTCACCGATGGTTAGAGACCTTGAACGACATGGCTCAAAATCGTTAGCAATGGTGCAGGTGCACCCACTCTTTGTGTTCGCTGAACTTCTGAATTCCTCGTCACGTCCACCTTTCTTTTTCTAAAGTTATCTCACTTCTCGAATCATATCTTCGAACCTTAATCTTCTTCATTACTGCTAATACTTCTAATATTGCTACCACTGTTGGATTTGAACTGACAGTTGCGTATCTGTAATAATGCGGTATGGCAACCTGAACTGACGTACGTACGTACGAAGTTCTACAATGTATCTGACTGACTGAGTAGCTCTTAACATCAGTCTCCATTCTACATACCTCTGTTCAGATACTTGATTAGTGTCACCGGTCTTCACACAAAGTGTAACTTAGAGCTGGTTATATAAGCATGTGCTTGGTAGATAAATACTCTAGTTCTTAAGGGTGATCGAAGTTAATAAACCATGTAATATACAATAATTATTCCCACATGTGTAGCATATGTTTAGTAGCTAGACTTCATCAGCAGGTAATCTTGCTTTAACTAAATCGGTAAAAATTACATTTACAGTCAATGAATGACATTGTAATAAAGTACTTACATATCATCATAAATGTCAATAAAGGAAGCGGTACGATTATTTGACTTTAGAGAACTATCAAGCGAGTGCGAAGAGTTCACATCAAGTCCAGATTCTAAATGGTATGAAAGGAACAAGAACACAAGCGAATGAAGTTGATGAATTCTTAAAATAAATTATTTTGATACAGTTCACTTTGTAAGTGAATTCACTTAACCGAGTTATCACCTTTAAATGTGCTCACTCAGTCATAACTTTCTATTTATATAGAAGTTGGACAAAAATTGATTATGTGGTAAAAATGTTAAGGACCAACAGTAATGACAACTATGCTATCTACAAAGAAATGCCTTAAGTGATACGTGCTAAGTTTCGAGATATTTATTTACTCTAAAATTATCAAAGCCAGAGAAATATTTGTTCGCTAAACGGTTAAATAACTTGAGATTATGCTGATTAATACGCATCATGAAAGCAGATGATATAACTATACTTTAAAGAAGTTTTTAAATGGAACTATAAGACATTTATCTCTTGACCTATTTTCCCACAATATGTTCAGTCTATTAAGAGGCAACGACCAAAACATGGCAGAAATCCATGAAGTCACTGACAAGTGGACTGAGTCATGTCGGTAGGTGTTGACTACCTGGTTGGGGTCCACGAGATGTTAGTAATCGATAGTTATAGACCCTGAATGATATGGCTCAAAACCGTTTGCAATGGAGCAGGTGCATTCATTCTTTGTTTCCTCTCAAATCCTAAACTTTTTAAGTCTTCATCACTTCCTCTTTATCTTTTTGAGTTCATTTCACTAGATTCTACTTCTTCAATAATGTATCCTAATCCTAACCTCTCCGACTACTGCTAATACCTTTTCTACCTCTACTACTATTGGATTTGAATTGACAATTACATCTCTGTGCTAATGTGGTACGGCAACATGAACTGATGTACGTACGTACGAAGGTCTACGTTACTATTAATTGACTGATTGATTAGGAGGCAACGGTGTATGAAAAAAAAACAAATATATCTTCAACCTAAGAACAATATGTCCGTACACAATATTTGAAAGAAAACTACAGCTTGTAGAAACCACCAACAAGTTATGACAACAATTGTCTTTTGTTGTTTATTTCCTCAGTATGAAAAAAACTGGGGACTCAAAAGTATATTTTTTGAGAATGTTTATTGATATTATGTACGAACAGTTCGACGGAAATTGGCGCCTAGTATATAGAAGGTATTGTTTATGAATAGTGTAGTTTTATAACCTTAGCATTGGAAATTTAAATAATTCCGTTACATCCAAAAAACTTGTCTGAACTTCTTCTACTGTCAGTTACTGGAGTATCTTTTTTTTTTCTCTTTTCATCTCGTTAATTACATTTCGTTGCACTAACGCATTATACCAACTTAGACTGTTTAATATCTAAGGGAGTATTATCTAACGAAAATGGGAACTAAACAATCAGCTAAAAATCAACTTGACTGCAAAAACTGTAAAAAAAAATTAATACTATAAATGAATTATAATTTAAAGTAACTTAAAAAGTAGAACAAAATAAAATTATCCCTTACGTGTTACGTCAATTCCATAAGTTGGAATATCATGGTTTCCAGAAGTTTTGTTCAAAATGTTGCCCGATTCTAGCGAACTTTGATTACGATCTTCATTTATGGAGTTTGGATTCTGTGAATGTAAAACAGGAAATTAGACTGCGGCATTCATCTGAAAATGAGGCAACTATTACAACCTTATAGTTTCTTGAGTGTAAAAGACGGAGAAATTAGTGTTAAAATTTTATATCTCACCACAATTTCGATATGAATAATTCAGGTGCTATGAATAAAGGGTGATGAAAGTGATGAAAAGGATTATTATAACTACACATAGCACCTAAAATACAGGCGTCTGTAACCATGCGATGCTCAAACAGAGCACGTGAACAGCAAGCCCAGTAAATTAAAGAGATTTCAGATCTGGACGTGGATGTATTGGTCAAGTATTAACTCTACAACAGGTTTTAGAACACGCTAGTATAAAAGTAGTAGTACGTTGAAAGGAAGCTGGGGGCAACCAAACTAAAGCGTCGCATTCGCCAAAAAGTCATTAGCTCCAGGTTTGAACTATGTTGTTAGATGAAGAACAGCAGGTTGGAGTTCGTGAGGTAACCGCGATCAGTTGTGAAAGACAATATGTGATGTGGCTCAGAATCAGTGGCGATAAAGCAGATACATTCACTTCTTATCTTCCCATAAATGTTGAATTTTATTTCTTCCATATACAAACCTTTTCATAAACCTAAACATCAGGTATAAGTAAATATGCATACCTTTATGTTCCATCTTTTTAAACCTCGTTTTAAAAGCTTTGTCTTTTCTACCATCATTATTACTGCAACGCTTCGACTCTTTCACTACTCATCTTATTAATTTCGTTTCGTTGCACTAATGTTATTTATATTTTCAACTCAGGCCAAAACATGCTTTTTTGGTTATAACTGACGGGTTGAATAAATAGCATTATTTGGCGGTTTCGATGTACTGAATTCCATTTACTTTTTATCGTTTTCTCTTTCTATCGCTGCGCTGGTGTACAATGTGGCCATATAGTGATGCACTCTAATGTTAGGTCCTAACAATGTTCATGTTAACTAATCTATACTCAATTAAATATTGTACAGATTACCGCGCTTATTTTTTAAAATGATTCACATTCAGTAAATAAAAAAATATTTGAGCCATCTCAACTTTACACTTAATCATAATATTAACCAATTAGCAAACTATACAATATAATGACAACAAGGAAACAGTTACCCGAATACTATCTGTTAAAAATAACCCAACAAAATTGTTGACAGTTGGTTGAATTTTTCTGTCCTTGATGTTAATGATTACTACTGACCAGTCTTCTTTAGCAAATGTACACCCTGAGTGGATTATTTTGACATTGACATTTGGTGACAAGTATTTGGTACCGTTTGATAGCAGCTGGCAGGGGAATCCAGGATGCATGTTTCATCCTAAATGGGGCTCGTCAGCTGGAACTAACTGAAGTGTATAATACGGTGGAGTTTGAAGACAAAGATCTTCAGTTTGGGTCTCAGTATAAACATCAAAACTAGGAATCAGGTACATTCAACTGACAAGTCACATTTGGGAAGAAATGTATAATCTGGATTCCTCTGTTAACCTCCATCCAAATTCACTAAAAATGTAGAGTGTTCAGAAACATTTTATTGCATATTAGTGGGACGTGGGTATTAGAATGAAGTGTAATTGTACATTATGTTTGTTTCGTTATAGATAATACACAATGAACCAGCCTTATAAATACGATGACATTTCGCATACTAAATGGGTAGCAAAAAATAACTAGGACATGACATATATATATATATATATATATATATATATATATATATATATATATTCACAGCATGAAATATATACTACAGAAAACGTACAACAATCGATTTCAATACCATCTCATTTGATTCACCATCCGTTCCACGACTAACGCATACATTTCCTGATTCAACGTTATTTGACATAGATAAATTGTTTGTTTCTATGTAATCCACATAAATTTTAAGTAATTTAGTATATCTTTCATTTTGTGCAGATAATTCTGACCTAAGGTCTTGTTCCCTTTCTTCCAATCTAAAAACTAGAGGACAGAGTAATTAATTAATTAACTGATCTAAGAAGTGAGTTAGCATTCACTGAGACTAAGAAAAAATGATTTTTACGATTAGTAGCAACTCACTGTACAGGCCACTCAGTACAGACAACAAATGAATATAAATCATCCTATTTCATGGTCACGTCACTGAATAATCGATCAGACAACTATTATATAGATGTATGGTTTTCTCCCTGTACACTATTTACAGGTTTACATTTTGAAAAAATAAAGAGTACTGAAATTAAAGTAAAAAATGAATAAAACTAGCTTCTATTCGCCATGAGTCCCTCTGTTAAAACGAAAAAAATCGTAATAGCTGACAGAATCCAAACGGACTAATTAGTCAACCCGTATGAAAAGACAAAAAAAGTTTTGCTAGTAAAAGTTATGGATCAAGTGCAACATCCTAGCAGTACCATAGTCACATTCATTCCCTATCTTACTCAAAATTTTGAATCAAGTGTTATTCATAAGTCTCCACAGTCTTCGCATTGTGGTGTATTTCTCTTATTTAGATTTGATAAGTAGTTGGAATTAATTCCCCTTTTTCAGCTTTTCAACTTGTTAATTTCTTTTTTCGTCATACTAGTGTGATGTGTGGCAACCTGAACAAGTCCACATGCATACAAAGTCCCACATCAATGGCTAAGAAACGAGTAAAATGAGGCACGAATTCTCAATATATGCAGAGAATATGAAAGATTGTGACCGCTACTGAACAGAGACTACAGATAGCCTCAATTTGTTTGAATGTGAGAATATCTTACATAGATGACAACTTAGTGAGTATATGATTTATTGAACAAACTGCACATCTGATTACTACTGACAAAAATAAACATAAAACCTGGCATTAATATTTACGGACTTAAACTAACATGTCTCAAATCGATACCACTGGAAATCTTTCGCAAATTAAATTTACAGTGCTTTAAAACATTCAACAAGTTACAAACTAAACAAAATGTCAACTAAGTCTGATAGGAACATCTTTAAAAATAATAGCGTAAATCGGGATTCACTTCTGCATTTAATACTATGAACCAAACTGATTTTATGTAGGCTATTGACTGGTTCCCAATTGAGTTAGACATCGAATGTGTACCCCACCAGTTGCAAGTCAATTACCTTAATTGGTGATTCATGCCATAAAAAAAATCAGCAAAAAAGTACATCAAACTACTGGAGAAAGCTAAGTGATACGACTATGCACAACGAAGAGAATGCGCTTAAAAGAGTTCATTAATTTAGATCATACTAATTTAGTACTTGGATTCACAAAAGGTATCTCCTAAAAACTATCAAGATACATTTAATTTTTACGCATAGACCAACGTTGGCAAGAGAAATAATCTCAAACTACAACACCCTGAAGTCCGATGAGTAAATTAATTAGGGATTTTAATAACTGGTGAGGTCTTAGTTGATATAAACGTTGTTATTGGACGTCTTTTATTCCAAACACCTTTAGTTACTTGTGCTTGTGTATAGTTTATACTGGTATTAAAACTGATTTCACTCTTTCTTTATCTACCACAACTAGTAGGCTACATATTCCATAGTCCTGAGGAAATTAGAAGCATTGGACAACAACGGCTGACCAAGTGAAAAGTAAATTAGCATGCTCCAGACAGAAGTTTAGTCACAGCAAAAGGTAGTCGAGGTTGTCTGTTCAACTACTTTTACTCTTTAGAGCTCAACAGCCTATGTTCTACTAGGCCTTGTGATAATTTAAGAGCAATTTTATGATACTTCCAGGGATTACGTATATCATCCATTTTCCACCAAATTAGTTTTTTGCTGAGAATCACGTACAAAACAACAACCCATCATTCATAGTTTCGAGGAATGTTTTAAGCATGTATTAATGATCTACTACATCATTATACTCAGTTGAGCAAAATTGACTTACTATGGTCATCAGCATTCTTGACAAGAAGTCGATAGTGTCTCAGTTTCTCATCTAGTTCTTCAAACTTCTTGTCTGTTTCTTTTTTTATACCAAGCAGCTCATCTTCTAGACAGTGAATATGCTGAATATACAAGACTAATGACTGTATGTTGATTTTAAACATACTCTTTTTGCAGCTGAGTAAAGTTCCTTTTGACGACACAATTGCGTAGAAATATCATTCTTTTCGGCAGTCAAAAGATTTAAATCAAGATCCAATTTTTGCCTATCCGAAGTCAAGAGGTCCATTTCTTCTAGAATACCAATAACAATAGGTACCAATCTCCCGTACGCAGATTCACCAAAGACCTTTTTCATAACTTCAAACTCCCGGTAAATTATCTGGGCTAGTTGATAGACCCTGGGTGAAATCTGTTGTTCGTTTCCGAAATCCATGAGTTTCGTAGGTTTTTGATATTGAATCACACTCTTTATCGCTGAAAAAATGAAATGGTATAGAATTGAAACTAACCACAATAACGAAGTACTACCACAAAGTACCTCTTCAAGAGTAGAAAAATCGTACTACATATCTAACTTTGTTGTTCAATTTTCCTTGATTCGACAATGACCTACTTATCATTCTAATACTTCTTAAGATTGAGGGTATGCTATCGGAAAACATGTCAACAATATGCAATAAAGTATCCAATTAAGTCTTAATCGCACCACAGAACAATTACATCAGATGTAATCAGCACTTCAAAATCAATAGGATCAAATTTTGATGTTCTCACGCTTTTTAGAAATCTGAGATAATATTACGATTAAAAAGAAAACTGGTCTTGTCAAATTTATCAGTGCCATAAATTTACAGATATCCTTATAGGAAGACTGTTGAAGAAAGTTTGTACACGGTAATTCAATAGTCTAAACAGCTAATGGTAGAACACTTAATAGCTCCACTCAATACAACATAGAACAGCTTCGAAGTTGCAGCCTGTGGTATAAATGATCCAGATTTCAGACCAAAATTGCAATAAGATAGCGATTCTGAACGAAATAATTGTGGTTTTCCTATATTCGCAGCTTTCTCTGATCCCCTTAAACTGAGTGAAAACTTTGTCACCATTAAGAGTAACTAGCATAGAGCGAAATTAATCCCACGATTAAAACAATGCGAGTGACATTCTTAGTAACCGACAATCCAACCTCAATAAATAACATTTTATCTTACTCCTTTATACCACACACACTCGTACAGTAAGACACTAGAAATATGCCCCATATAAATAAAGTGATGACATTATGAAGAAAAGAAGTTATAAAATCCATAACCAGAAATAAGAATAATTGAATTAAGGATATAACCAACAAACATTTTTCACAATTAAGGTTTCTTCATATTCAGAAAGAAATGAATAGAATTCTGAAGAACTACCATCAGCTTGGACTCTGTACCATATCTAATAACATCTCAAACTACTTAGTCCTGTTATCTCTCTAAAACCAACCGAGAAGTCTGGGTGGACAAACATATGCTAATCATACACATCTTTATTTCTTACTGTAATGCTACATAATAATAATAATAACACCCAACGTAGTAGTCTCAGGGATGCCATTCTTAGAACGCGTCCAAATGAATGAAGTCGGCATTTCAAGGTGGAGACAGCAATAAATCTATCATCACTGTGCTCGAAACCACAGATCTGTAGCAATATACATTTTATACTAAAAATAATAAAATCAATACCTATCAAATGTTGTCAGATAACAGTTTTATAAATTTAGTTGCTTGTGGGGATAAGAATTAAAAAACTTGTCCAAGGAATAGTATGAACAGGGCAACTGTAATACGCAACTACTTTGCACTACAATGGTTGAGTAATTTGGACATGAGACTGACATTCCATAATAACGAACCGAAGTGAAGTATCAAAACAGCATAACACGCCTTGTGCGACCATCAATCTGCCTATTAATAAGAACTATTGAGCGATATTGTTGTAAGTATCAAACCCATCTAGTGATTGTCATTTTCATAATCTAAACTTCCAGTTAGACTGAAATTTTATTAATGAGTTTACGTTCGGGACAGTTTGACATACATTTTGTCGGTCATCCAATACAGTCACTATTCGACGTTAGCTATAACGTAGTCACTTTTAACTACGAAATCTGATTATTATAGAAGATCATAAAGTATTCGGTCTGGAAAAATACCGAATGCAGATGAATTTTTTGTAAGATCGCGAAGGTATTTATGCCCTGATTCCAATATCCAATATCCAATATCTTTTTCACTAGCTAGTATAAACCAATTAATTTGTTTGCGATCAATTCTTGTTCTTTCGGTATGGTTCCAAGTATTTAATAGCGTCCAATGGATGAGGTTCTAGCCACTCCTGCACTAATTCTGGTTATTTGTAGATTTGTATGTCCAGTGATTTGAATGAGTACGTTTGTTTCAGGGCAGTAGGGTTTCTGGATACCAGCGGCTATCACGTTGCCTAACTGAAGGTCATTATATTGCAATGTGGAGAATAATAAGGAGAAAATTACAGTGCTGACAAGAAGATTTCAGAACTAAGTACATAAATAGATGATTTAGTTTATTGATTAGTACTGAAGATTGTGCGAGAGAACCGAAATGTGAGCAAGGAAGAGAAAACAGAGATAATAAGCGAGATAGAGTTAGTCATTGATCTGAGGTAACAACAATGGTAACTGTAAGCAAGTTTAGAGAAGGAATTAATCAGTATCTTACTTCTTAGACTTACGTCTGTGTGTGAAAATGCATTCTAAGTTACTAAGAATCTGGGATCACTGGAACAACTCCTGGTCTCAGACAAATAATCTCTCGGAATAGTCGATGGGTGACAAGCAGTTTACTCATACTTTTCAAGCTGATGGATAACTAACATGTATCATTCCACTGCTTGCCATGGACAGGCTCATGCGGCAATAGTTCCACCTTTCACTTTTGTTAACGCTGTTGCCTGACACAATAATAAGATCCAGATAACAATCCTAATTGTGAATGATTTTTCAGTTATTTTTATATGCTCAAATTCGTGTTCAGACCTAAAGTGAGTAAATTGTTATCAAAACGTATCAGTGTTCTATTAAGAGTGTCGGCAACACTATGACGTGTCATTGTGATACTAATAACGCACAGAATAAACCCTGATAGTAGTGCAGGTAGCTAAGTAAGCAATTTCGACACAAGTGACGTCATCCTTTAGAGTTGCATTCAGCGTCTTTAATTGTGTGCTGCTCTATTCCGGGAGGATTTTGGGAACGTCAGTCTGCTTCCTCGCCTTTCGAATATGTATTGCTGATTTTTCTATTGTATGTCTGTCCTTTATGAGGCTGTAGTGGTTTACTTTTACGAAGAAAACACAACTGCTGAAATGTAAACATTTATTATTGTACTTAATTCTGACAATATAGCACATCTCTTGTTTATCTGTACGAAAGACTATCTCTCGCGCGCCAAGCGTGTTATTCCCATTCTTCTTTCCTCGCTCGCTCTTAGCCGCTCATGTACTCTAGTCTCGAGATTATTCCGATATCACGAGACTAGCATTAAATATACTTCTTCCTCTAGAATCTCCTTTTATCTGATTACTAGAGTAACGGGATTAACATCTGTTATACCGCGAAGTGGTATGTTTAATAGGTACTACTACATTGGTAAGCGACAACTACGAACACGCAACAAATTCGGTGAGTCTGTCATTTTTTCCATCCAGTTTTCTTACTACTATAACTACAATAGCGTTTGAAAATGGTAGATAGATTGAGAAATGACGATAGTTTAGAAGACTCCGAAATACAGGTCCCTAATTTCCGATCTGTCATATTTATTCCCCACGACCCAGAGGTCTGGCTCGTGGCACTGGTATCTCAATTTGGGATCCGCCGCATCACGAACCAGCGGCAAATGTTCGCCTATGGCCTTGAGTTTTTACTTCGGGACCATATTGCGTACCGAATTACAGGGTATTTCATTCGCGTGATGACATTTTCCACGCTTTACTAGAAAACGTTCCCCAGCTAACTAAACCACTCGAGGAGGATCTATCGGTGACTCATCATGTGGTACACCATATCGTCACCCGCACACCACCAGTCACGGCACGACCTCGCCGACTGGCACCGGACAAATTAGCCTTCGCTAAACGTGAGATTGACAATTTACTAGCTACAGGTATTATTCGTCCTTCTCACAGTCCCTGGGCCTCACCAGTCCACATGGTTCACAATAAGGATGGGATAAGTTGGCGACCATGTGCCGACTACGGAGCATTAAACGTAGTAACACTTTTCGAAAGCTATCCCATCCCCCACATACACGACGTCACGACATCTCTTAAGGGCACGACTATCTATTCGAAGATTGGTCTGGGACAAGCACACCATCAGATCCTAGTTGCTCTTGAAGATATCGAGAAAACTGCTATCATGACTCCTTTCGGTCTTTTTGAGTACCTACGAAGGCCATTTGGATTATGAAATGGTGCTCAAACTTTCCAAGGATTTATTGATAGCATGGTACGAGACCTTGATTTTGTTCACGTCTATATGGATGATCTGCTAATCGCATCATCAAATGTAGATGAACATTATCAACATCATACGCTCCTATTCCAACGCCTTTCGGATGATCGAATGGTAGTTAACCCAGACAAGTGTGAACTGGGCAACACAGAAATAAGGATTTTGGGTCACATCATTAAGCATGAGGGTATTCTACCTTGTGGAGGCAAAGTACGTACAATCATGGAGTACACTGTACCGTCCTCACTCAAGGAACTGAAGGCTTTTCTCGGTTTGGGAAGTAACGCTTTCGGTCGCGAACTGCTAGCTGCCTACTGTGCTATCAAACTTTTCCGGCACTCAGTAGAAGGTCGTAACTTTCCTCTTTTTACAGACCATAAGCCTCTAAGATATACTCTTCATACCAAGTCTGACCACTACTCACCACGACAGTCCGGACATTTGGACTATATATCTCAGTTCACGACAGACCTTCGTCATATCAAAGGCGAGTCGAACTACATTGCCGATGTTTTGTCTTGTATTCAAGTGAATGCAGTTACTTTACCGGTGCTCGATCTTCCTGCTATGGCCGCCGCCCAAGTAACTGATCCCTCTTGTTCAGAATCACAACAAACTACTTCCCTTCAGTGTCAGGAAGTGCCCCTAGCTACTAGCTCAGGCACTATCGTATGTGATTCCTCTGCTGGTTTACCCGGACCCATTGTACCTTCTGTTCATCGTCGTCTCGTCTTCGATGCCCTTCATGGATTTTCTCATCCAGGTGTCGCAGCCACCTTACGTCTCATTGGTGCACGATACGTCAAAAGTGTACAGGCACGTAGCCGCCCCATCGGCACATTTGCTACGCCTGATATTCGCTTCGATCACGTTCATATTGACATTTTAGGACCATTGCCACAATCGCACGGGTATGATCACATACTCACGTGTATCGATCGATTCACGAGATGGCCCGAAGCTATTCCCCTCACTTCTCTTACGGCAGAAACATTTGCTCACCGCTTCGTAGAACGATGGATAGCGCATTACGGTTGCCCCTCGAGTGTCACAACTGACCGAGGACAACAGTTAGAGTACGAATTTTTCTCCTCGCTAACCCAGCTGCTTGGTAGGGAGCGCATACACACTACCGCCTATCACCCAGCTTTGAATGGTTTAGTCGAACGGTTTCATCACCGACTTAAAAGTGCTGTTCGAGCACACGAAAACAACAATCGGCACGAAACTTTACCGCTCGTCCTCCTAAGTATCAGAACGAGTTTAAAGGTAGATATTCAATGTTCCGCCGCTGAATTAGTTTACGGCACGACATTGCGTCTGCCTGGGGGATTTTTCACACCACGGAGCAGTGATGACGTCCAACGACTGTCTGGATTCATGCGAGCACTGCCTCAGGTGTAAACTCGAGTTCAACATCGACAGGTCGCTCTTCCTCGAGAGTTATCTACCTGTTCGCAGGTTTTCATACGAGTAGATTCAGTGCGCAAACATGCGCAACAACCTTATGAGGGACTTTTTCACGCGATTTCTCGTCATGAAAAGACTACCAAGATTGCACGACATGGCCGCGTCGAGGTAGTCAGCATTGATCGTCTCAAACCAGCACACGTCGATGACAGTGCCCTGTTTGCTAACCTGAGACCCACTGCTAGACCTATCAAACCTTCTAGCGGGATCCTTAAAGCCTCTTCGGGTCCCACGCTAGACAAACCAGAGACCTCATTCTCACGTCCAAGTCAACAGAACGCTTAACCTTCATTATCTACGGATGAGACTCCGGTCTCACGTCCAGATCATCAGACCACGCCGCCCTTGACTGCGTATGAGAATGCAGGCTCACGAGGTACTCACGATACTACCGTTTCGCGTTCCAGTTGCCGCGTACGTCTACCTGTACGCTTTCTCGAATAACTACCCACGCAAAACGGTAACGTGATAGTACCCTATCCTCGTACTACATTTGTGCTACACCTTTCTCTTTTTTTCGTTTTGTATCCTGAACCCATATCTATGACCTTCACCCTGTTGGTACCGTCGACTTCAGTGAATTTTGATGAAAGCCGGCCTGATCGCCCACGCTCTTGTCAATGCACTCAGTCGTTGTTTTGGTTCCGAATATCCTGGCATACGCACGGTTACGAACTGCTCGTCTCTGGTTCTTTCGCTCAATTTGGTTCCGTCCTATGTCTGCAGTTTTTTTGGTACGAATCCCTATGAACGCGTTCTTCAGACTCTGGATACGAGCCAAGCTGGTGTGGCATGCCAACTCGAGCACTAAACTTGGCACGTTACTATTGGTACAGCTCAACGCAAAAAAATCTCGTTGACAAATTGAGCTTCATTGATCGCTTCCTGTAAGTCAACACTTCCGCCCTACAATCGCCAGTTAACTGACCAGCTCCCCTTCCTCACGAAACCGCTGCGAATCGAAAGTGTAAACCCTTTCTAGGAGAGGGCTGAAGTAGTGATTTACTTTTACGAAGAAAACACAACTGCTGAAATATAAACATTTACTATTGTATTTAATTCTGACAATAATTTTTATATTGTAACACGCGAAAAGCGTGTTATTCCCATTCTCCTCTTCGCATGTCTCGTTCATGGAAGTTAGCTTTCGGTACGCCCTATTGCCTCGATATTACTTCGATATCACGAGGTCAGAATCAAATATACTTCTTCTTTTAGAATCTGTTTCTTACTTGATTCTCTGAGTTCGTAGAGTAACATTTGT